GGGTAGTCAGGGATAGTTATTGTTTTTTTTTCTTCTAGGATAGAGATGCAGCATTTTGGAGTGAAAGTAAGCATTGTTGAGCATGGTTTCTTTAAGGCGGGAGTAGTTAATTCAGATGGCATCAATAAATACCTCTTAAGACTTTGGAACAGACTGAGTCCTGAGATCAGGGATTCCTACGGAGAAAAATACTTTGTTGAATGTAAGTAGAAAAAGGACTGTATGAAAGCTCAGGGAGGATATTATCAATATATATAAATACCTGAAGGGAGGCTGTAAAGACAACAAAGCCAAGCTCTTTTCAGTAGTGCCCAGGGATAGGACCCGAGGCAATGGGCACACGCTGAAACACAAGATGTTTCTGCTGAACATCAGGAAACACATTTTACTGTAACGGTGACTGAGCACTGGCACAGGTTGCCCAGGGAGGTTATGCAGTCTCCATCCTTGGAGATATTCAAAAGCTGTCTGGACATGGTCCTGGGCAACCTCGTCTAGGTGACCCAGCTTGAGCAGAGGGGGTTGGTCCAACCTCAACCAATCTGTGATTCTGTGAACGTTCGCTGGACTTCATTAACATCCATTAAGAACCCATTAGCTGACTGTTCTGGACTATGTGTATGTTAGATGAGGCCTGCGCTATTAGTTCCCATATGAGATTGGTGAGATATGACGTCATGCTACCATCCTTAGTCCCTCCATACTTAGAGGTAGAACGCCCAGGAGGAATGAATTGCTATGACCATATGCTAAGTTTATGGCTTACTGATATCTGGAAAGTTGTGCTGTGTCACGCTGCACTTACTGTAGGGAATATCTGGCTCAAAATATGGGCCAGGGAGGTTTCTGTTTACTGGGCTCTTGGGTGTTCTGCAGCCTTTCTGGTCTCTGCTCTGCTGTAGCTATTCTGCTCTCAGTACTTGAGCCAGCAGTTTAAAGCAAGTCTGAAGCTGTAGCCAAACCTTCGAATATAAAGAATCCTCTCACAGAGGATGTTGCATCTAAATGCTTTCAGGTTTATTTTCTTCTTTACAGATATAAAAGCTCAAAGATCATCAATGAAAAGACTGTGTGACTCTGATATTTCTAAGGTCATAAAATGCGTGGAAAATGCCCTGATAGCAAAGTACCCCAGGACACGATACGGAGCTGGATGGGATGCAAAGTTCTTTTCGCTGTTTCTCTCCTATGCCCCAAGCTGTTTATCTGACATGCTGCTCTGTATGACGTTTCCAGCTCCAGCAGCTAGTGGGAGATCAGTTCCTCGAGTTCTAATTAACATTTAGTATTAAACCAGTATCAGCTCCATGGAAATAAATACTAATCCTGTCAAAACCAGACATCCTCTTCTTTACCAGTAACTAGACTGCTTAAATTCCTTTCAGAAGACACTTTCTCCATCCCCCACCCCTCCTTACCTCGAATTTCTGAGTTTGCAGATAGGCTTGTAAATCCAGCATGGTTTTGAAAGTAATTTTTTATGCTCAGAAATGATACCTCTATAGGATCTGCATTCATAAAATACTCAGCTACAAAGCTGGTTAATACTACTCACCAATAAAAAATTTTTAAATAAGAAAAATAAAATCACTAAAAGAATCAGTTTTTCAAGTAGACTTCATCAACATATAGGCTGCTAGTGAACTTGAAATAAAACAATAGCCTTTCAGAACATACATCTTATACATGTACCTTACAGAATGTATTTAGTCACATTTAGTCATCTATTTCTTGGGGGTTTGCTCATGGTAATATTCAGGAGTTGCTAAACTTCACAAGCTTCTGAACACAAGACATGAAATCAAATAATAACAAAACCCAGCTATTGCAACATATTCCAAAAATTACAATTGCAGTATTTGACCACATCTAGTCACCTGACTATTCAACTGCGTAGAGATAAAACACAAGCTATTTTACAGATATGCAATTACAGGGAAAATCAAAACTACATTGTACTCTGTTACTAGGCGAACAGAGTATCCAAACTTATATTTTAACTTTCTTCCTAATATTAGTATATTTTATGAGGAAAATATTAAAAATAACATGCATTCACATTTCTACTGTCCTCAGTGTGCTTTGCAAGTTAAAAGGATGATTATTTCACTCATTAGATGAAACAGGTCATTAGCATATGCTATGGTAAATTGTTTTGACTGTACAAAGAGTGTGTTCAGAATGGCAAAATGTTAGTGAGGTTACTGTGCCTCTTGTGCACTATTTCTATCTGTTAAGCTGCTGGCCAGAGGCTCATAAACCGGTTCCTAGAGATACTAAAATTGAAGGGGTAAAGGTTTTATTTGCTGAAGAGCTGCGCTGATGATTAATCATTAATGTGCAATTCAATTAAGCTTACAAAAAAATACCATGTGCAGGTCAGAACTCCAAATGTAAGAAAAGGAGTTTCATCACTCTCTGTGTGTGAGAGGGGGCGTGTGTGTGTGTGCGTTTGTACATGCGCAAGAAAGGGACAGAATGTAAAAAGTGTTTAGTAACCTGTAAGTATTTCATTGAGGTTCTATTCTCTGGCAAATGGCTTCAAGAATAAATTTATTTTACTTCATTTCATGATAAATACCTGCAGAGAGATAGTTCTCTCTCTCTGGCCTGACAGCTGTAAAGAGAATGTGCATGAAAACACTTAATGGTATAATTTATCAGCCCTATAGTGGCAGATTACAGAGAGGTGCTGAAATCTCTAAAAATCATCCTTCTTTGAAAGAGAAAGAGTCCAGAATTCAAGAATCCAAGCAGGGACTGTCCTCATAAGGGAAAAAGAATACAAGTGAAAAAACAAAGTTAGGAATAGAATCTAAAGCTTCTGTTGAACAAAGTACTAAAAATTAAATTTTACATCATCCGAAGGGTACATTGTCGTATGCTACTGAGAGGAAGAGGCCCAGTTGAAGCTTAGGAATCGTTCACCATCAGGTATGTTAAACAATCAATCTACATACCACTTACCTATACAGTATCCTAGGGATGGTTTTCTTCCACATCTGAAAAGTTAAAATTCTTATGGGGAAAAAAAAGTATCTCTGATACATGGCTGACATATTAGCAGTTTTCTCCAAAACTGGTTCCAAATCTTTCTGTTGACAAAGACTATTCACAAAACTGATGCTAGTTTTTCTTGTGGTATGCAACTGGAGGTGAGTCTTGTGGAAATATTAGCCCTGCCTTCTCTCTTTAAAAAACATTGTGAGCTCTTTCCTTAAAAACAGCAACCTGCCTTTCAAAGAAATCCTCTCATGGCCTTACAGATATGTATGCTGTGCCCCAGGTTCTAAGGAATTTTCTACATTAAAGCACTCAGATATGAAAGTTAATTGAACTAAGGTTTTAATCGCTTATGTCCATACTACTTTGATAGTCAGTCTCTTACAATCAATAATAAGAGTTTCCTGTTTCAAGGGCCAGTTTATTTAATGTGTGTAATGGGGCAGTTTTCACACTTACAGCGATACAATGCCAGTGATGTTATATTAAGAACTTTAGACAGTTGTGTGAAGCAGTAAGCACTGTTCTTATTTGGCTTTATCTAAAGCACTGTTGTTTTCATCTCAGAGTGCACTGAAGTCTCCACAACTGAAAAAAGTACATAGAGCCTTGACACAAATTATGGAATAAGGTTGTGATAAAATAATACATTTATTAGATTTATTCAGCAGCATCATTTTCCACTTGTTTTTTCTAATCAAAGTACATTACAAAGTAATTATAAGCATTCTAATTAGAAATAGTACATATTTTGAGAACTCAGATATAAAACAATCAAATAGCAGAAGTCCCAATGATTATAACTTTCGGAATTTTTAAATTATATGAGTAACTAGCCAGGAATGCTGAATAACACATTCCTGCAGTGGTACTCAGAGTTTCCTCAAATGGTTCATGTTGTGGAAACTACTTTGGCTAATTAATAGAAAAGCTAGTAAGATGTACAGTATATTCTGTTATACTGGAAGGTTATAGAAATAACCAGATAACTACAAAGACTGCATTAGTAAAAATTGTTTCCCTTTCTATTAATGTCCACCTCAGGAAATAAATAGTCAACAAAATTAAATTTTCACATTAAAAAACCTGAATAATTTCTTAAATGAACCAATATCTTCCATGTTTTGCTGTTTGGAAATAAGCTGTTATAGAAATCTAGCTACTTCATTTAATAGTACAAATTACTTCCAGAGACACCAGCCAAGAACAGAGCTATCCCATTGATAAGCAGGAGAAAATCTCATTAAATTAAGTACTCGTGGCACTAAAATCTAAATATATCAGATCTTTTTAAGAACACTATTAATGGAATGGTGTTAATTGGAACCTAGAGGAAAAGTATGTGTCTTATGGATTGAGAGGAAATTATTTTATGTCAGGCAGTTAAAATATTGTAAGAACATTTTGCACAAGTAACTATTCAGCATAATGATGCTGCATTGACTCTTCCATCTTTTGTTTAACACAAGATAAACAGAGACACCCATTTTTACATACAGGAGTATATAAAATAGGTGGTAAAGATGCCCAAAGCACCAGCAGAACTTTTAAAAGGTGCTGTTATAAATATATACTCTAAAGATCCTGTAAATCAGTAATGTTCCTATATTCGCCTTGTTTGGTTCTTTTTCAGTTTAAGCATTTATATAATGAATTTATCTCTAACCGATACAACCAATTCCATACAAATTTCTACTAGCAACATCACCGAACAAGATAATCTTTCAAAAATTTACAAATGTACAATATATTTATAACATTACTTTCAGACAGCTTCAGTGCAAAGATATACATATAGTACATCATGATAATTGTTCATAAAAATAGAAATTGGCATTTGTCAAAAAGCAAGGCATAGTTTCAACATACATCTCCAGCCACTGGCTAAGAGATGTATATATTTTTATAAAGCATTTGAATGTGAACCTTACTCTTCTGTTTATAAAAAATATATGTGCAAATGGATGTGTCTAATTTTCCCTAAATCAGTTACCTAGTTATACCACAGAGTCCTCCTTAACAAGATTGGCGGTGTCTTTAAATGTATCCTCTGTTGCTGTATAAGCTAACGGCTGGTCTCTCTTCAGAGTAATCTTGGGAGGCAATGAAGGAGAATGAGTAGGGACATTTTCTGTCTCCTGTTGCTGTTCCTTTTCCATCTGAAACAATAATCACAAAATCCAATTACATCCAAAATTACATTCTAATGTGCAAAACATCCAACCTTAACTTTCAGAAACGTTAAATAAATATCCGAGTATTTTGCTAAAGTCAAGTGTCATGGTATAAGTTACTTCTGCAAATCACCGCTTGTAACAAAATTAAATGCTAATTTCACCTCAGATGGTACAGCTGAGTAAACACACTACTACAAACTTACTCCACACACTGGGACTTCTATTTTAATGCTTAATGTCAGGAGTAGCTTGATATGTCTATATGCACATACATGAATATAGATAACATCAGCACTACTACTGTTTGTATATAGTTACATTCATTAGCATTAGGGAAATGAATCCCTGGCTTCCTGAACTCTCTCTCTCTCACCTTGTTCAAGCATTAGAAACCTAAATTCTTCACAAAAGGCAGCTAGTTTTAGTCATGTGACTGTGGGACTGAGGTTCTTAAGTCACTTAGGCCATCTGGAAATTTTAAACTGTAAGATGAAAAGGGCTGGAATTACTGGCTCAAGTCAGTAGAACTCCAAATCTTCATACCCAAGCCAGGGGAGAACTCCTCCAGCACACATACCACCCGCTGGCACACCATCTTAAAAGAACTGTCTCATCCAACTGTATGGATGAAAAAAATAGGGCTTGTATAGAAACAGGGCTGCAGTACGCAGAACTATTGAATTTTTGTGCAGTGCTGAAGCCAGGACTGAGAGGGCAGAAATAGACACTTCACTCCCAGAGTACAATAGCCTCCCACTTGCACTGGGTCCCTGAGCTGTACCAGAATACACCAGCAAGCTGAAACCAGCTTGGGTGAGATCCCGGAGCAGGAGCGGGCCGCAGTGCTTGGGCTGGAAAAACAGAGATGTGGGCAATGCAGCTGTGCTGCCTGAGCTGGATGCCTGCTGA